AAGGGATAAATTACTTTCTTATTTGATGGCAAACGTGTGTTTTTCTATGATTTCAAAAATAATTGTTCCACGGCTCCTGTTGCCAAAAATACTACACTATTTATATAAGAAATAAAAAAATACATCCCAAAATAAAATGCTTTCACATTTCTTGAAAGCAATCACTGAGGCCCGGTATTAATTTTTTTCACTGTACCAAATGACAATTTGAAATGTTCCCATTATTGCTGGCTCAAAAATAATCTGGCATGGAAATGATAAAATAGTTGGTGCGAGTAACCTTGGGGAAGTTTAATATTTCATGCAGCCGGAGTTATAGCAACCAGAAGTTTTCAAGTGCCATAAATCTTGAACGTTATACAGATGAATTTCTTTAAAACCTCGCGTGGATTTGTTTTTTGGTTGGTAAGTTTCGTGGTAGTATGTGATAAATGACGTGACACGTTTTTCTTGACTATCTAATATTTAAATGCTATTCATTCCCAAATACTGGTTATTCTTTTCAAAATACTCAGTCTTACATTTGATATAACACTCATGCACTTGCAAAATTACAGTCAAAAGTATTATAATTTTAGCAGAGACAGATAAAACATTTGAAGTTGCAAGTTCCTCATCAACTGATAAAGTTGAAACTTTAAGTGCATTGAATAATTTACTCACTCATTCCATTCATATACTTTAATCAACTTCTTGAGCAAATTTTGTGAATAATTTTGAAACTCGTGAAATTTTGCATATGTCAAATCTTTACTTACACAACTGTTCAGTAAAAAGTCTAAATATTTTTTCCATATTATAATTAAATATATGATGCTTGTTACTTAGTCATTTACTTGATAGAGATTACATCAGAATTTGAATGCTATGTCATAAATGTTAAGACGTTAATATCTTGAGAATAGAACATTAACCCATGCTTCAAAGCGTTATATCACAGACAGTTTACTCTTAAAAACATTCTCTGCAAGTCGAGATTAAGTAATAAATAACGCCTCAGAAAATTTAGAGAGAAATTTATAATGGTCTTAAGACATAGGCGTTAGCGGAATTTGTATGTTGGAATAAGTTACATAAATAATTAATAAGATCATTTATTATAATTCCGTACGACCTATTGAAGACTGATTTAATTATCATTCAAGAAATTTTCATCTCCTTTCATCATCAATAACTATGATTGAACATAATAATTTAATAAGCATATTATATATTTTTGAAAAGAATTTATTTTAAAGTCAAATTTATATATATCTACATAACCAAAATATGTTATATTTAAAAGTTTACACAAATGGAGTAAATAAAGCCTACAATTTTTATTATCAATAAGTTTAATAATTGGCGAAAACATTGATTAATATCCTGGCGTTAGTTTAATGCGTTATTCTGTAAGACAGAGATGCATCTTGTTTATGTGAACATTTATTAAAGACAAGAGCGAAGATGTTTCTTTAAACATTTTTTCCTAAATTAAAACTCCGTGGAACACTGAAAATAATTTATGTGCGTCTATTAGTCTAGTTAACGTTTGCGACTTGATGGGTCCTTTTTGTGTGCATTAAATTTGAATAGAAATCAGCTTTGTGTAGCAACAAATTTAAAAAAACCTTTGTCTTTCGTTCCTATATAAAATTCATTATAATTTATTATATATAAAATAAATTCCATGCAAACAATGACAGATAGGTCAAAGAATTTCATATTTAATTGCGGTATTCGCTCCTGCATTCTCTTAATCCTTTGACAGCCCGAATAACATCTCGTAAAATTGGTATACAAAATCTTTTAATATTATTATAATAGAGATTATTCGTTCGAGTGATTTCCAACGGGTTGTCCGAAAAAGTCGGCGTATCAATCAACAAAGTTTGGACGCTATTATTATGCCATCATTCAAATCTATTGTAGCTCTAAAAAAAGGATGCATCATAAATACATCGTTAACGGAAGATCTTTTTGGCAGTACACTGTAGCCTCGGGATCTTGAGTAATGATTTTAATATTATCTCTGAGGTTTAGTTATAAACGGAATTCATTTTTCTTTCCAATCTATGTATCCATTATAGAAGTTACTGCTATACTATCTCTGCAAGCGATTTTTTCATTTCAATAGTAAAATTTATATATATGTTTGCATGTAAAATATTAACTCCTCATATCTTTCTGTCGGATCGTCACTAAACCATCATATTTTATATCATATTTCATTCCAAGTCGGAGTCTAAATGACAGCTATCAGTCAAACAAGCTTTTTATGAAGGGCCGAGATTGGATCTCAAAGAACCGTTTTTAGACGAGGAAATGGAAATTTTAACAAGAAAAGATAGTTCCATCGATACGTCTAAATCGTTATTACTTTCTCTCTGTTTATTGAAATGAAAAATATATTTTTTTATCAGCTTAAAGAGATGTCGTAATCAAGATTTTTCCTGATGATATTTTTATATCATAAATATTACTCTATATAAAATGTATAAGGAATTTCAATCATCTTAATTATTATCGTCCAATGCCTTCTGTTACGGAGCTTGACTTTTGTGGGAAATTATTATTGTTGGGACCGAGCGAAGCCAAAAAACGGTCATTATACAAATATAATAATTCAATACTTATGTTTCACTTCGAGAACTAATTGTACCTTTATGAAACTCATTAATTTCTTACATTCATCTTCATGCTATATTTATTGATGACAAAAAGTAATACAAATTTTAGTAGTTGTTTAAAAATAACTTACATATTAATTAATATTATATATCATATTCATATAAATTTTCTATTCAGTCGTTACTACTGATACTCTAGTTCTATATTTGGATGTACATAAATCAAAATGTGTCACTAGTGAAAACTTGTAACCGATGCGTTGCGTTACAAATGCGATGCTGTCATTCAAAGCATCGGATTTAGGAAGCAACGAGATGGATGGACGTGATAAGAAAATGTGGAAATAGAGCTTCCAGGCATGTCATAGTGGAAAATCAGCTTATATGAGTGAAACTCATCTGCACCCAATCCACATACTTCCAAATAATAATGACTACAATTAACCTGACTCATTAAAATTTCCACCCGAATTCATTCCTAATTCTACCAAGGTTAAATCCTCAATATCATTCCATTCCGATCTTAAATCTATATAGATTTCAAAAGATTTCTCTCGCTGTTTCCATAATAAGACCGAGGTACTGTATTTAAAATATGGGCTCAATACTAGCGTTAAGGAACACAAGACCCATCGAATATTCATAGCATTCAGGGTTACGGCGTTTTTTCGGCTGTGAAAATATGTATACCTTTGTCGGGAACAAATAATTTATAGGGACGTTTAAATATATTATATTTATAAAAGAAACAGATTGTGAAAAAAATGTAATTGTAATTTATATTCAAAAGAATAATAATAAATCTTTGCTTTTGATATTCAGTACATATCATTATACTCAAAAATTTAATAAAAATGCTATTTTCTTAACTTATTTGTTAGAAGATTTATGTATCATTTGTAAAAAAAACTTATTGTTATTTGCCACAGCCAGAACTACATTATATTAAAAAAGCTAAAGTATAAAAAAGTAAGAAAATTCGGTGACAACTTTATAAATATTAAAGAGGTTCCTAAGTTTGGGGTCGACGATGAATAAATTTAAAAGAAATACATTTTAATAAAAACGTATCGATGTCACATTATGATAGAATTATAGTTTAAGAGACTTTTTATTAAGTAAAAGATTATGTTTTATGTGTACTACAATTATTACATACTTTTGAGTTGACTCCTTTAATTCTAAACTATATTTTACTTATAAGATTACAAAGACATTTAGATGTATGTATGTACGTACGTCAATCCTTCATGTAAAAACTATGAAACTAATTTTGATGAAACTGCAGTAGTGTAGCTCAAACATATATATTTTATTTGAGCGTACATTAATAATATATCTCGAAATCAAATTAAGAAATCCATACTAAGTCGTAGGCATAAACTAGTTTCATATAAGTAACATTCCGCTCTCGATATATTGAAAAGTATCCCTACTAATATTATAAATGTGAAAGTAACTCTGTCTGTGTTACTCTTTCACGCCTAAACCACTGAACTGATTTTAATGAAATTTGGTACAGAGATGGAGTTGACCTTGAGAAAGAACATAGGATAGTTTTTATCCTTGACTTAGTAGTTAGTTAGTAAGCTAGTAGTATGTAGTAAAATGTAGTATGAAAACATTTTCTTAAGAGCCATATTTAAAGCCACCTCTAAATGAATAATTTTTTGATACCGCCAACCCTATTTAATAGAAGAGGTAAGTTAACTTTATCTGCGACCAAGATGAAATACACGAATGAAAGTAATTAAGACTTCAAAGATGAAGTCAAACTTTCATGACTTATCTTAACAGTTTTGCTAGATTTAAATTATTCGCTATATATATCAAATTGAAAAGGTTTAATACATTAATAGAAATAATCTAGGAAAATTTCTTCACTTTCATGATGTTAATGATGTTTGTTTTTAAGAAAACTATTTCAAATTAAACGCTTTTTCATTAAAGTGTAAATAACTTTACATTTGCTTCCTTATACATACATATATCTTCTTCTTCTTCTACCTGGCAATTTCCCAGCTATAGCCAGGATCTGCCTTACATGTTATGAATAGTTTTTGGCTATTTGTTTTTACGACCGGCCGCCTGCCTGACATCAACCCTCTTTTGGGAATCAACATTAATCAGTGATGTCTAAATACTCTTAGAAAGTACATATTATTCGGAAAAATCACATTGGTACTTGCCCGGGCCAGGATCGAACCCGCGCCCTCGGCGACGAGAGGCCGAGAGGCGGGCCCTTTAACCACTGAGCCACCACCACTTGCTTATACATATATATTTCTCATAAACTCTTGTCATTATTTTTATACATCAAACTGAAGTAACATTAATATATTTTATAATAATAATATATTAAGATTTCTTCCTTATCATCTTCTGTTTCAGAACAAGCGGCAGGATGTCCGAAAACGTGTTGTCTTTCAAGGCGGACGCGTCTGATAACAAAGCGAGATACACTTGTGAGGCTAAAAACATCATGATAAGCAACACACTGAAGGCTGAGATAGACCTCACTGTACTATGTAAGTATATAAACATTTGTATATAATCTCTTGGTTTGGTTTATATAAAAGAAAGTCCACTTAGTCGTACTATTTATAACTCAAAAACGGCTGTAGGGTTAATTAAAAATTTGTGAAGAGATAGCTTAGAACAAGGAGACGGACGTAGGATATTTAATTGTGTTTGGTCGAAACAGAAAAAAATAATAATAAATTCCACTAGATTATTAACCGCCTCTAAGGCGGAGTAGAGTTTCGCCCGACATATACATATACATATTACTAATTCTGAAATTAATGCTGACGAATTCACGGACAAAAACTAGTAAATATATATGATATTTTCACAGAAGCAGATACAAACTTTATCTCATTTTATCAAGGAAATAATGTTATTTATGAAGGTTTAATCCAGTAGGAGCTTATTGTTCCATTACTAGTAACGGATTTCTAGAATCGGAAACTGGTTAAAATCACCAGATAGATACAATAATTGGATAGAATAACCGAGTATGTTTCCATACGGATCTGTATGTCAATATGTCTGTACTTTTGAATGCTAAAATTGCTAATGGAAGTGATGTTTTTGTAAAGAGGAAAAAGCATTTCAGTACGAATATAATTCGTAAAAATTTTGAAGAAATTTTTTCGGTATTCAATTATGAAAATGCTATACATCAAAAGCATGAAATTAAAGATGTATACAAATTATAAAATAACAAACACGCGCATCATACTCCAATGTTAATTTTGCTAACTCTTGCAATCGATATATTAATTAAAAGCAAGTGACCTTGTATAAAATATTAAAACTCTCAAAAGGTCTGTTTACGTTACTAAAAATGTTATGTACACACAATTTCACAACGCCCTACGAATACAAAAATCCTTTGACAAAGCAGCTAGTCAAACAGGGGTAGTCAGAAAGTAAAATGTTTCAATGTTGGTGCAAGTTATGAGCGATTGAATATATGCGATTTCATTTAAAAAAAAAAACATTATTGAATCAGATTTAGAGATCCTTTCCGTGTACAAAATCTTATTTGGGGCTACTTTGTAAGAAAGGTAAGCAAAGATATTTAATATCATTTAAGATTCGAAACACAGAATCGTATTTAAATGTAGTTTAGTTTTATCTTACAAAATAAAGGTGATTTCTTGTTGCCGAGTCCCACGCCAAGCTTCTCTTTCTTATTGTTTATTAAAGAAAACTTCGTGTCCCATAGGTAAATACAAACGAAATGCCTTCGGATTCTGAAATACTTTTTCTCGACAATTTGGGACTCTCAAAGGTCAAAGGGATCCGACTTTGAAGGGTTAGCTCGATTATGGAGTTTGTTATATAAACTTGCTGTTATTTAACGGGTTAAATTAACCCTTCATGAATCCAATTTGAAAATTTTGTGATTTGATACGTATCTCGAGATTTATTGCTGAAACTCAAAAACTACGGTACATTCAAATTATCATAGTTTTGCTTGAACGGTTTATACAAACTGAGACTTTGATAGAATAAATTAAATATTAATGAAATTTTACTTGGTTCAGAAACAGAAATCGTAAATCTTGTTTATACCCATACATTTTAATAGTCACTCTGGTCTCGCTTGTAGATTTAATTTATTTTAACTACATATATGCTGCAAAATTAATGGAACAAATCTTCACTTCACTACATAATTTTATTGCCGCATTCCCTTGAGAAATCTGTAACATATGTGTAAATTCAGTTCACTCACAACGTTCAAACACAGTGTACTCCGCTAGTTCAAGTAATCGATATCTAACGCATACGTTTCAAAAGCGCAGAACACTAAAAGGACTTTATGGAATTGATTATACATACAACTAAATCCGGACTTTAACGCGGTACCGATGTTTTCAAAGCAAATCCCCCCAAATGGGACGTAGGATCCGTATAGAAACGATCCGACTATTTTTCAACTCCGTCCAAACTCCGACGATATATAACGTATTCTGTTTAAGGAGCAGTTTTTGAAAGTTTTCCTTCCGAAGTGACAATGGGAAGAAACGAGTTAAACACCAAAGGCATTTGTAACCAACGGAAATGTTTGGCGAACCATTTTTAAAGTCGCCGATATAAAGTAGGGATTTGAGTTGGAAATATCATTGTTTGGCCAAGACGATACCTTCTATAGAATCAGCTTAAAGTAATCTGTACGAAGTTCGGCTCCTATTGTTATTCAAGATAACACTCCACATCTTATCATATAATAACTCCTATCGAATCTTTCTAATTAGTTTCCACATTTATATCAGCATGTTCTAAATTAAATTACTCCGATAGTTTAACTGTTAGTTTTAAAGAAACTTAAAAGTACTTTATAAAGTCAACTTTTCAATATGTCCCTTAGAAATAACCACAATGGAGTAGCTTTAAAATCTAGCCAATAAGGTTTCCATTCTTAAGAAACTTTTAATTTAGAGCAGCCATTGACGCCGCTGGTCGGGTGCTATTTTTAAAGAAACTTTCTCTTTAAGATTACATTTCCACATCCTCCCTTCTGATTTCAGTTTGCGCGATTGCTTTTTCTATTTGAATTTTTAAACGTTTCTCAAATTGCACAGTTTGTTTGTTACTGAATAATTGGAGAGACCAAAAAGACATTGAGATCATGAATTTTATAACAGCATCCTTTCTTTCTAATGTTTTCGAGAAAACAGTCGGTATAAAATTGCCCTGAATAATTTAGTATGAAATTGTTCTCAAAAGCGAGAACATTGCTGCTAGTACATTGAAGAGCATTTTAAAATGATGTCGGTAGATATTTTTTTTACATATCTTAGTACTTTAATGAGTTATGACCACTCTACTCAATTGTTGTAACATTGTTTTAAAACAAGATCAATAAACTTTGAATTGCTACATGAAAAATCATAAAAAAAATCCCTTGCTCAAGAATAAAAAGGTTGAAAGTTCTGCCTGAAGATACCTTAGGAGATTTATGCTAGTGACAAATTACTTTTTTATTGGACATTTGTTCATGAGCGTCTGAATTTTGCGGCGTGAACGGAGTTGTAAAAAGGGCTTTCTAAAAACAAACCAAGTCTAGAAATGTTATTTAACTTTAATGCTTTATAAAGGGCATTAATCTTTACATATTTTTAGAGATTAATGTTCCATTTTTACTTATGAAATAGAAGTTCATATCTGCTTTTCGATATAAGTATAGTGTGCATACAAGTTGCGATAAATTACCCTATCAAAACTGTTATCTTAATCAAATTAACTCTTTGCCTCTAAGTGTTGTCAATTCAAAATCTGTAAATATATTTAAAAAACGATTAAGAACCCATATATTAGAAGATTTCACTGATCTTGTTTAATATCACTACTGTTTGTTATTTTTAATTTTAATTGTAGTTATAGTTTTTAAAATTTCCTTTGTAAGCGAACTTTGTTCTTTTTGGAAATGAATTTCTTTAAACCTAAATTCAACTTCATTAAAAGTGCTCTATACCAAGCTCTTAATAATATGTTTGTCATATAGTTGCACCGTCCCACGTGACTATATCCGGCCCTTCAGAAGCGAGGGTCGGTGATCCAGTACCCTTGAGCTGCAGCACGGCCCCTTCAAACCCGGCTGCCGATATCAAATGGTTGGTCTTAGGTAAACACCACAGGGAAGCAAGCAACAGAACCGTCATATCTCCCGATGGTAAGCTATTAATTTGATTAATTAATTTCTATATTCATGCGTCAATAAATATTGTCTCTATTTGAAATATTAATATAAATTTTCTTAAGATAATTAATGTTTTCTTTTTCTTAAATTTAATCTCAAATTCTTTGTAAGCTGTAGACTTAGTATTAGTAGCTATAAATTTAAGATATAACAAGTACTTATATAACTGTGATGTTTTAATAACTTATTAACTTTGGATATAATAAGATTTTTTTCTTTAATTAAATGACAAGTATCTAGAATTTTATTTCATATTAATTTCCATTCAAATAAATGAAATTCTAGTACATCCTTGTTAAATAGTCACTTTTAACTAAATGCACATAAAGCACATATACCAAAATATTTTACAAATGTCTATACATGTGTTTGTTACGGCTCATCTCCGAAACTAGATCGATTTTAACAGGAATTTTACTGTCATATAATTAGTAACTAGGACTTGAAATTTCTCATACTATTAAATCTGTTATAAATATTGTTATTTTTTTCTATAGGTGGCTGGATTACAACGTCTAATATCACTGTTGTGGTGGAGCCACATCGACGCTCCATCGTCGTGGTATGCCACGGCATTAACGGACAACTTACTGAAAACGTGGTCGCCACACACACCATCAATGTACTATGTGAGTATGTCTGACTGTTTGTATGTGTGTTCTACATGTTGTAGGTATATTTTGAAAAGATAAAATTTAAAGCACTGACGTAAATGGTGACCTTATTTTTTTTAATGTCCTACAAGTGATTAGCGACTCAACTTAATAAATTCTATGTATAAACTTTATTATATCATTACAATAGGCGCTTCATTAAAAACAAATACGAACTTAATTAATTTTAAAATTACACACACACACATATATACATATATATAATATCTATCAAAAAATTCTATATTTTTCTATTCGCTTCATTTCATTCCTATATAAAAGTACTATCATTATATCAGATAAAAACTTACGAAATTATACGAATTAAAACACATTCACTATAATATTATGAAATTAAAAAAGTACATTTCATATAGAGCTAAATAATTAATAGAGTCATACAATATTAAGCTTTACATTACATATAGAGCACACTGAAGTAGAAGGTTTATTTCAATGTTTAAGACTCAAGTCACGCGCGGCGTGTTAATGTAGAGTTGGCGCGGACATCGCTATGTGATTGAGTTCTTATTTTATTTGATAGAGTTCTGTTTGTTTTGTTTCAGAAATTATTAAGTTTAATTTAATATTATATTATAGAACTCTACCTACCTGGAATTTAATTATATACTATTTTCTCTCTGGCAATTTCCCGGTTTTAGCCAGGGTCTGCCTTACATGTTGTGAATAGTTTTGGCTAATTGTTTTTACGACCGGCCGCCTGACTGACATCAACCCTCTTTGGGAATGCATTAATAAGTGATGTCCAAATACTCTTATAAAGTACATATGACTCGGAAAAATCACATTGGTACTTGCCAGGATCGAATCCGTGCCCTCGTGCATCAGAGGCGGGTCTTTAACCACTAGGCCACTACTCTACTAGTACTTACCAGATTTTATCATATATAAGAAATCTTTCAATTATATTTACATGAACTCAAAGGGATTTTTTTTTTGTAACAAAATAAATAAACTCTTTAACACACAGACTAAACTACCCACTTAGTTGATTAAACGTTTTTGTGGACGTCAATACTGGGTTTTTCTTTTTTACTGTAGTTGGTTTCCAGAAAATCGTATGTGTTGATAAAATAAATACGTTTTCAGGCTATACAAATCTAGACTTAATGTATTTTTGTTTATATTTCATCATATATGACTATTTGAGGTTTTTTGTCGCTAATAAATTAATATAAAATTATAAATTTAACTTAATATGATTTAATGTGTTAGTTACATGCAATTTCATATTGAAAAAACTCTCAGAAACAAGTGAATTAAGAAATAAAAATGCATTCGATACTTCTAAATGTAACATATAACTTATAGCTACTGTCATATTTATATTTAAAATCTAGCATACCTTTTTATTGATACTTATACACATATTCCCTTAATTTATCTGAACTCAAATAAAGCCTCTTAAAATAACAAGACCGACTGACAGTCACTCACATCTCGTCTGTCGTGATCACGGTTGATGAAAAGTAACCGAAACGTCGGGAGTATGTAGTTTATAGTCAAAAATAAAAACACGTAGTTAATACGAAAATATCAGTTTCATATAAATGAATAGTCGCGATAATCTTAAATCTCATTATAAAGCCTCTTTTTAATATAAATCGATTCTGAATAAAACTGTTATTCCTTAAACTGTAATACCTTCAAAGTAACATTACTAAAAGTGATACAAACAATAGAAGCTTAATGAATTGTTAGGAAATATTCCCATAAACTCTCAAATCTAATTTATCACAAACTAAACACAGCACATGTCTGTACATATCAATGTGTTTTAAAGCCTACGTTACGTGTTCAACATACAGACGGATAACCTCAATTATATACTTATACAGAACTGTTATAATGATTTATAATAATATTTAAACAAATTTATGTATTATAGTTAAGTAAAACAAAGACTGGAAGTGAAAAATATTAAGAATTAAATCAGTAATGATTTCAATTTGAATACATTTATGTTTTTAAAGAACAAAGTCATTTTAAATCACTTTGTTTCTTTGTTCAAAGAAAAAAATTAGTTTTTGAAATGAAAATTACTATACCTGAAAATTAAGAAATCCATGTCAGTAGATGAAAAATAACAAGACCAACTGACAGACATTCACATCTCGTCTCAATGATCACTATAACATAATATTAGTTTCATTTAAAACAATATAACTGGTAGGACAAATTAAATATATAATATTATAAACCTCATTCACATATGTCATAGTTAAACATATATATATTAAAAAAGCTATACATTTTTATCCGACTCCACTTGTCATGAAACATCAACTGAAGTCCTACATACATAACAAATTGCCAGCGACGCAAAACGCTAATATGCTGCTTAATTAATTTAAAATCATCCACAGTATAGGATTTAATATACTAAAGCATTATGTTTGAATTATAAATGGCTGATATTGATTAAAACATATTAATTAGTTGTGTCAAAATGTCTGTTTTGTTACCTGAATTTAGTTTCAGTCTAGACTAAAATAACTTACAATTAGATAATACCATTTCATTATTTTTTTCATTGAAAAATTTCTTTTTTTCCTTAAGATTACACAAGAATAGTTCGTAAAATAAAATTTATATTAAAACTATAAAATATTTATTATTTTAATAAAGTTATAATATATAACAATTAATTTAACTCGCCACACTAAACCTCAAGATGAAATGAGTATTCACTGACTCACTTAAATTCACTTAAGAGATGCTATCTGTTCGGAGTGTGAGTGAGAGGTCACGTTAGAGAGGGATGGAGATATATAAGGCCTGTTTACACTACACGATTTGAATACAATCTCGTGTCGTGTGTACAGTGCTTAATTAACGTTTTACATTTAAAGATAACATCCAGCTTTATAAGTTAAAGACGACCGAATTAGAATACAGTTTGTGAAATCCAAACGGATGTGTACTGAAATAATTCAAGGAATAGTTGAAATTTATTTTATTTTATAAATATATATGACTAGTATTTGCCCGCGATTTCGTCCGCGTAAATATCATAGTTCTGCTTGGAGAGTAATGTATAAATTGTATTAAAACAGTACACATATTAAACTTTTAATTATAAATATAAGATAATCATTATAGCACCATCTGGCGGGAGTAATTGTGAACTTAAACCTATGGTATCACAAAAATGTAAGGAAAAAATCATTGAAATCGGTCCATACACAAACACATATATATTAGAATTATATATATAAATATATATAATATTTGTAATTTATAAAACTAGTATTAAATGTCGATGTAGTCGTGTAAGCTCCGTGTCATATAAACGGCTCTTTGGTGTGCGCTTAAAAGATTAAAGAGGTTTATAGCGATGGCGCGAAAATACGAACTTTGGATTTGATTGGATTACAACCTTATAAAAGGATTTTATAACGTTAATGTGAACAAATGAATATAATAATACTTTTAATATATGGATTATTACCATATATATACTAGCTGACCCGGCAAACGTGGTTTTGCCAAAAAAAAGGGGCTGGTGATACCAAAGGAAAAATTTTGTGTTGTGGTTACATTATAAAAAAATAAAAAAAAAAAATCGTCCGAAAAAAATAATTAAGGATGAACAACCCTTATGACTGCTATGAAAAATAGATATTGGCCGATTTTCAGACCTACTCAATATGCTCACAAAATTTCATCAAAATCAGTCCAGTCGTTTCGGAGGAGTTCTCTATCTAACACCGCGACCAAAAATTTTATATATAAGATATATAGCAAGATATTATATGTACATAATTAAGACATTCAGTCAGTGACGCTATGCTTTAGCGTTTAAACGTTTTGCTGCAAACTTGTTATCTGGAGCTCATTAATCATATTTTCGGGGTTTGGTCCAAGTCATGAGATTTCAAAACAACAAAACTACTTACCATACCTAAATTTTGATACTAGAAGGTTTCATCGCCAACACATTTTGAAGTGATAAAATCTATATATATGTATATATGATATAAAAGCATAAGTTTCTAACTTGGACCACACATGACGAGGCAATAAGAACATTCAAAGATGACGTTGTAACACATGTTACTGTACAAGCGGTTAGTTCCGAGACGTCTTTGGCTACTGTTAGTTGAATCACTTTAACTTGAGAAATATTAATTAAAATATATATCATATATATCACTGAGAATTCATGAGTAAAATTTTAATGATAAACTCGGTCCAATTTATTTGAAATACACAATATTTTTACAGATATACATAAGTGGAAACAAAAAATATATTTTTTTAATTTCGTTCGCCTAGGGAATATGGATAGAAGTAATAATTTAAATTATTCGATATCATCATCATCATCATCATCAGCCTATCAGACGCCCACTGCTGAGCAAAGGCCTCTTTCTCACATGGAAAAGGTTTGAGCATTAATCACCACGCTTGCTCAAGACGGGTTGGTGATTTCAAACTTATAATTGTGAAACTATAAGTCCAGGTTTCCTCACGATGTTTTCCTTCCTTCCTTCGATATAGATATTGTGTAACTAATAAAATATTTAGTTTATTACTAAAATAATATTTATATATAAATTTTACATAAATCGAAACATTTTTAATACCGTATTTATGAGAGAAAGAGACAAAAGATTGAAACGCCGTAACGCGTTACGTTACGAAGTTACCCTCCCATAAGAAACGATCACTTGAAAAATATATTTTCCATATAATTTGTGTTACTTACGAGTACTTGAAATATCTAACAAATTAGTATAGATTTTTATAATTTTATTTCATCTTTATAGCAATGAAGTAGTTTATATACTAATAAAGAAATATTTGACTTATCTAATAACCTTTACATATAATAACTTAACACACAAAGATTGGAAAACGTGAAAAAGTATTCAATAAAAACATAAAGAAATTAGATATTTAAGCATTTTTTTATGCTTGAGGAAATCTTTATTGATATAAATAATATATGAGACTAATCATTACATTAAGCTTGATCACGTTGTATGGGAAACTAAATTTTTCCTCCAACACATATCTTAAGATGTTTGATCTTCTATTAAGTTATATATTTTCTTACACACGCATTTTCTTCGTAAGGCTACATCAAATAACATATATATATACATATATATATTTATATTCCCATTTATTTCATCGTGATATTTCTATAGTAATAAAAATACATCGCAAAAATAAAGCCACTTTGCAGACCGTCGATTAAAATGTGAGTAATAAATACTTTTACAATAGACATTTGTCGGCTACATGCAGCATCCGATGCGTTTTAATTAAATATCTCCGTCCCTCTCTAACATGGGGAGGCTATATATATCCCTCTCTGTCTCTATATCGATTCAATCTTTAACCCGATTTGTTGGACCGTGTGTAGTCGGCCTAACGCCCCGAGGTCTCATACCCACTCGACCGTACATAACCTTCAAGTTACAATTTCATTCTTAAATCGATTTTTAATATATTAACTTATATATAATATTTTTTATGAAAATTCGTATGAAAAATCTTGTATGAAGATAAAATTTTACATGTATTTTACATTCGAAAAGTCCTAAATTTAATTGAACTTTTTCTATTATCTCACTCGTTTTCTCATTGTCTCAATAACAAACACTAACTAAATAACAAGCTCATTACATTTCAACCAATTAATGTATATACAAATTAGTTAATATAAAACTTCTTAAACAAAATAATTCATAATTTTAATTATCTTTATATAGTTGTTGAATTTATATTTTGTACCGTCAGCGAGCAGGCTAGGGCTGGCACGGTCCGGCACGTACCGCTCATTACATTAATGAGGACGCGGACGACATGGGAATTAATTGCTCGCTTGTGGCAGCCCTGGATACGCTTTTCAAGTCAAGCTACTTTAAAATCGCCAGTTATCGAATGACCGCCTACACTGAATACTGCTTAATTATTTCCCTTTTGTTCTAAACTATTTGCTATTTATATGACGATCAATAGATTTTATAATGGTATATTAGGATTACAGAAACTAACTTAATATATTTGCATAAGAACACTATATTTAAAAGAAACTAATATTTTTCGTATTATACTTCGTGTATTTTATTGTTTTAAACTACATACTCCTGACGTTTAGGTTACTTTACAGCACCTGTAATAAAAACTGCATTTAAATGAATACTCGCGGAAGTCTTTCAAAATATATATATATATATATATTTAATTAAAACTTGCGGTAAATATAACTTCTTTACATAACAAGTCGTAGCAGCATGGAATTTTGTTTTTTTTTATTTCTAAGTTAAATACGTATATACATTTTTACAGTGAAAGCACAATTACAGTTTTCTTTGAATTTTTCCAAATTATTTTATTGAAATCATTTCTAATAAGATTTAATTTTACATAGATTAGTTTCATGACGACAGTTCGCTTTAAATGAAAATTCAATATCACTAATATATATTTCAAACATTGATACGATACCCATAACACCGTTTGAATATGGGTTGGTGGGTGCAATGAAAACCATTTTTTATTCATAATTACATTAATTTAATAACGCTTTCTAAGATATTACATTTTTATTACTATTTTGTTTCTTTAGTAACTCTGAGAAAATAATTTTATACATATTTTTAATTTAACAGTTATTATAAATAAAAGATTAGTTAAATAGTCTTCTTATTAATGTAAGTAGCAAACTGTTGTATTATCAAATTGAATAAGGCTTCGTACAAATATTATTGTTGTACTTCCGACTCGGTTCTGTAATTATTATAATGGAGCAACGTGAAATAAGGCTGAGTTCGGACGTGCGACTCTGCGTTTCATTATCGCACTATACAGTTTGTACCTAAACAAACACTTGTTATTAATTTCGTTTTTTATATAATTTTATATTCTTTTCGAGTGTAAATATTAGTAAAATTATTATGAAAAAGAAAATATTTTCAAGTCTTACATCGTGCTATGTGAGACTTATATGTTAATAAAATGTATTTTTCATATTCTAAGAATGTGATAATCAAAATATTATGTAAATTAAGGATTCTATTAATTAATACAATATTATTCTCGTGTCTTCTTTTACTTAAAATGTCTATGTACATATATGTAATAACCAATTTTTCAGAACTACATATATTAAACTAGAATATGATTCCTGGAAATCATTTCAGATATAAGTATATTGAATTTTCATTGTAAAATCTTTAAGTATTTGTAATAAATTATATTATTATAATTTATATACAAAATTGTATGTTTATTATTATATATAGTAAATTGTATGTATATATTTGCACATACATACACACACACACAATGACACTTTTATGTATTTTTGTACATTTTTACTACAAGATTAGTTCAATAGTTCCTCTCTCTATACCACATTTACATACAGACAGATCATTCCATACATAAATAACAATATTCCTAACCAAAAGAAATGCTATAAATCAAATATTTTAAATTAAAACGATGCCATATTGAATGACCACTCACCGTGCAACAGAACGCTAAGTAAACAATCATTCCACATTCTTTAAACTTAATGATAACGAATTGTTTCATACGAAAATTTCGTGTAAATTGCGTTTCGTTTGCGTTGAGGACAATGTAGGTATTATGTTTCAAGCTGAATTATTTCGGTCTTTTACTTGCTTTTGCTATTTTGATTAAATTTGGTACATTAAATCGTTCAGTGATATACATTATCGAGTAATGTGTTGTTGGACACATACTGTTCAGTCATTATAATAATGTATTTACTTTAAATATAGTATATTATATTATATAAATTATTTTTATTTATTTACATAGGAACAAGTAACCTCTACTTTAAAAAAAAATCATTCATACATATATACTTCATAAGAACATTTATAAGAAATCAATTTATAAGTTTCAAATCACCAACCCGTCTTCAGCAAGCGTGGTGATTAATACTCTTTTACTCTACCTTTTCCATGTTAAAAGAGCCCTTTGCGCAGACGTGGGCTCTGATAGGCTGATGATGAACCAAATGAGTGCTTGGTATTCACTATAATGGTGCTTGGTATTCATCATAATTACTGCTTTGTTTTCTCCACAGATCCACCTTCAGCTCCAATGATAACTGGTTACATTCCCGGAACGACTCTCTCATCTGGTACGGTACAAAAACTATCCTGCATATCCACTGGTGGAAATCCGTTGGCTACATTGACTTGGTTTAAGAATGACAAAAAGGTACGTAATAAAGCAAACCATAATGAAAATATTATATTCTAGAAGTTACTAAGATACTTTCATTATTTAAAAGTAACCAAAATTGTCAATAGCGCAATTTTTATTAATTATAATGTTGGTAATATATTTTAAAATTATTTTAGCCTGAAATATATTAGAATCGCAGAACCTCATCGATTTAGCAAGTCCTTTGTCATACTAGCTTTATACAAATTCAAAATTATCTCAATAATTAATAGAATAACACCAATTAATTTAACATTAATTTAAACAACGCCACTTTGTACGAAATATTCAATGTACCTTCAATATGATTTACATTGAAACATATAATTTAAATACGCTTTATATAATTCGTGTTCATTTCACGATTCGCATGAAACATGTTACGATACACATTTCATTGTACAATATATATATATTTACATCAAAGCCATCTGCAGCGAGTGAGATAGTATTTAAATTAATTAAAATTGTTTTATATAAATCATTAATAAAACCAAGCACTACAGATACATTCGATAACGAAAACCACGGACAAGTCTGTGTCAGCTGAGATATCAATACTCACAAACGTGACTGACAACCAAGCTCAATATAGATGCGAAGCGACCAACACAGCTACAGAGATACCACTGTTTGAAACTGTCACTTTGAATGTACATTGTAAGTATTGCTACTACTTTTATCATATATTCAACTTTATTTAACTAGGAAATATATACTATAGAAATAAGATATAGATTGGAATAATTACAATGAAATAAATATTAATGTAAAAAAATGTATCTGTCTAAAATGCTCACAACTAAATTAGTACGTAATATTTTGTTTTGTTTTCTCATTAAGTGAAATGTAATTTCTTTTGAGAAATAAAGGTCTTTGACCATAAAATCGAATACCATATATTATTTTCAATTATATAATAATTTTGCTATATTCTAAGATAGCATTATTCAAGATAGCTTTCATTCAAAATATAATGGTTTGAAATTAAATGTCATTATTGAATTACGAAAGATAAATTTCAAATCCGCTATTCTATAGTAATGATGTTGAAGTTTTATTTTTTAATATATTTTGGTATATCTATGAGGTATAATTAAAACAATTCGTCTTTCGATTCAGTCTAATCCAAACGAAGTTGAGATTCATTGATTCCTAAAGTAAGAAACTTTGGGAATTTAATTTAAAGCCCAAGTAGTTGTGATGATCGTTAAACTGTTAGTTTGAAAGTTTCGCTGAGACTAATTGTCTTATTTTTATGAGGAAGTTTTTATATTGCTTTATAAAAGCTTTGTATTGGGGATTGGAACTATTTTATTGTTTTAACCCGAGTTGGGAAAGTTTAGAAAATGTTCGACGTATTTCAGACGAATCATTCAAAATTATATTTCTTTTTCAAGCTTAACTGAAAATGATAATATTTCTAATAAAAATCAGTTTTAAATTAAAAATAATTTTAGTTTTAATAAATTTAATTCACTTAGCTGTAGAATTATGTAATAGGAATTATATTTTTATATTTTAATACCCCAGTCGCACCGGAGACTGTAAAAGTTAGAGCATCACCCGCCGAGCTAACTCCTGGTATAGAAGGCACATTATACTGTGATGCAGCTTCTAGCAATCCACCCGCCACGCTATCCTGGTGGAGGGATGGTATACCGGTTCAAGGTAAGTCATATCACAAGAAATATTATCTTCATCATCATAGATTTTCGATCCAATATTTACAATATACATATATAAATGTATAGCAATTACAATGACGTACTGTATTGAATATTACAATTTCTTACAATATTAGAAAATACAAAAAAAATATATTTTAATTAAAATCATTATTTTCTTTTACAGTCCTGTTATAATTGTCTTAAAAACTTTATCATACTTATATAAAAAAAATTCTTCGACTTCATTTTAATCTTTAATCGAAAAATTCATTTTAATCAAATCAGCGTAACATTCTAATACAATAAGCAAATACAATATTACATTCTTTAAACTCACGAATACTATGACGTGATATATAAACATATATATGTATGTATATAAATATATGGTTTTTAGGCTTGCCAATGCAGTTGAAGAAAGGCTTACACGGCGGTACAGTTTCTACAGTAGAACTCAAACTAAACATCACAAAGGAATTAAACGGCGCAGTATATACATGTCAGGCTTCAAACGACGCTCTACAACGCAGCGTTCACGATGCATTGACACTTAAAGTATTCTGTAAGTCTATCAATTGGGTTACATTAAATCGGTTATCGGTCGTTACAAAATAGGTTCTTTTTTGATAGATCCGCCGATTTTCGATGACACGCCCCTCTCTATAGTGGGGGTTGAAAATGAACCTTTGGTTGTCATGCTACGTGCGGACGGCAACCCTTCAAGTATTACGTACACCTGGACTAAAGATGGACTTCCAGTTACGCAGGCTTCGTATAGCAGTGCCAGTGAGTATTATATTATACTAGCTTTCCGCCCGCAGCTTCACCCGCGTGGAGTTTGGTTGTATCGCGATTCCAAGAGAACCTTTCAAAAGTCTGGGATAAAAACTATCCTATGTTTTTTCTCAAGGTCGACTCTGTACCAAATTTCATTAAAATCAGTTCAGTGGTTTAGTCGTGAAAGCATAACAGACAGACAGACAGAGTTACTTTCGCATTTATAATATTAGTAGGGATATATAAACCTCCAAAGCCTTATAAGGAATTTATATTGAAGCTTTTCTTTAAAGATATAATTCATCCATTACAAATTATAGATTACTTTAAATAACAATTTTATTTTAATATTATTTGTTTATATATATATTTGATTGGTTTAAATTTAACTATTGATAATAATCTTAATATACATAATATAACTGAGTTTTATTTTTATTCTATTCTTGTAATGATAACAAAACATGATTTATCTAAATCTTTACATAAACATGAATATTTCATAAAAAAACAAGCCCTTAAATATTTTCAACATTCCAAAAAAACATAATCACGATAATCAAATATGAGGTGTTTTAATTAAATTGAATATCACAGTTAATTTTAAAACAACCAACCTCCATAATACTCACCAAATGAAAACAACCTTTAAAAATATTTAACTCCATTTAAAACAGAGAAGCTTATAATTAACAAATATATTAAATATTTAACGAAATGATAACACACATTAAGATAACTAATTTATAAAGTAATTAGTTTAATTGAACCAAATTATCAAATATATATATAGTAATAATATTTGGAAGGATTTGACGCGAATTATGATTGATTACACTGAATCAAATGACATAATTAATATACATTATGACTACGTATAGTTTGTTTATGGCTTTTGTTTGAACAAACATACATACACTTCTTCTTCTAGCTGGCAATTACCCAGCTTTAGCCAGGGTCTGCCTTACATGTTGTAAATAGTTTTGGCTAATTGTTTTTACGAAACGCCGCCTTCCTGACATCAAACTTCTTTGGGAATGCATTAATCATTGATGTCTAAATACTCTTAGAAAGTACATATGACTCGGAAAAATAACATTGGTACTTGCCAGGATCGAACCTTCGCCCGATGCATGAGAGACGGGCCTTTTAACCACTAGGCCACCACTGTTTTATATACACTATACAACTCTTTCATTATATTTTCCTTATAAATAAACTCAAAACATTTCCCAGATACCTCAAAGGAAATACAAATATTAATTCAAATGGTATACGCCGTTTACACTCGAATATAATTTCGAATTTGATTTTGCTTTTGCATTTCAACAAATTAATGTTGACACATATAAATATACGTATTCAATAACTATAATATACATCAATTTTATTAGTAATGATAAAATTTTCCTGTATACGTAGATGATATCTTTATTTTTTATTTTAATTTTATGTTCAAGTAATAATATGTTGTTGCCAAAACAATTATGACACAAATTTGTTTACAATCATGTTGCATACGTGTACAATATAAAATTTAATTTGTTAAAATTTATTAATATATTAATTTGATATTAATATTTACGTGTTTACTTGTACGATACATGTTTACACGTACTACGTAAACATGTATCTATACTACGTTATATTATAGTAGTTTACCTATACTATTTGTTTACATCAGACGATCGTATTGTGTCTTCGGGAGGCACTTTGAATATGACTCGTGTGTCACGACACGACGCCGGGACTTACTCCTGTGAAGCCTTAAACGCTTATGGCAGCGCCAGGATTAACATTACAGTTAATGTGCACTGTGAGTATATAATTACACACACACACACACAAACATATGTGTGTGTTTGTTTTTCATAAGTACTATTATGCCTTATCCCTTTAAACTTTTTTTATCGGAGTGAAAGTAACAATATTTTTGAATCAATTCAAATAATGTTATTTAATGAAATACTTTAAAAGTAATAAAGATTTTTATGTAATTATTGATACAATTGCTGAATTCATTCTTATTATATTCTAAAAACATCAGGTTATTTCAATGAATATAAAATTCACATAATTTATCAGAGGTTGTTGAAATTTCAACGATGTCATTAAAGTCTTGGTTCCGTATACGATTATATGGTTCAGTATTGTAACAAAATTTCTACGATTCAAATTTTGTCTGTTTCGGGTTAAAATATGAATATTTATATATTCTAGATCCAGCCGATATTAAGTCTGTCTGGCAGACAGGTATTGTGAATCCTAATGATAACGCTGTACTGGCTTGTACGGCTAGCGGTGAGTTTTTATATTAATGAATCTTTTATTGAAGTGAAACTTCTGAGTTGCAACAAGGTTGCGTTAAATGTTTAACGCTAATGGAGGGGGAATAGAATAGAAAAATAGAATAAATGGGTCATTTTTGAATTGTGAGCAATATTTATAGAGTATGAGTTCACTAAAAATCGATTTCAAACCTTTCTTATTTTCATTTAAACATTACGAAGTTTCACTTCTTTCGCTCAAAATTCTCCACGCATTATTTTTTCCTTTATATTTGACTCTAAAGGTGACTATTTTAAATATTCTATCCACAGGTAACCCATTAACATCGGATCACATAAAATGGGAACGCAAAAACTATGACATGTCAACAAAAATAGTTACATTTGAATCTAAGAATCAAACTAGCTATCTAACTATAGAGAGGGCGTCTAGAAATGATGTCGGCTTGTTTGAATGTGTCGTGAACAACGGCATCGGCGGTGAAACACGACAAGAAGTTATGTTGGTTGTTAAATTCAAACCTGAAATGAATACTTCGCCGACACTCGCAAAATCCGCGTCAAATGTCGGTCAAGTTGGACGACTTACTTGCAAGTAAGCGAGACTTATATTACAATATATACAACTTTAATTAAAATTCGTGAATATTTCAATTTTGGTCTATCTCTATTTTAGAGAAGTTTTATTATATATAATTTATAAAATGTTAATTTTTTATCTGATATAGTCATTTCTATAAATTCATTATATTTATCTGCCAAACACTATACAATTAATGTTTTAATCGTTTTATAAATTCAGCTTAATTAGCAATAAAACTATTTAGATTATTACACATCAGATATAAACATGAAACATTTTATATCTACAGTTCATTTAATATCAGATAAATTACATTTAAATTCATTTAAACTGCTTCATTAGATGCAAATCAGCGCCAGCACCGAACTTCACATGGTCAAAGGCGGGTGTGAAGCTTCCCGTGAATACTTCTACTAAATATTTCGCTGAATATCATAAGAATGATGCAATAACTTATACGTCTGTGTTATTAATAAACGATATAAGTACATCTGACTACGGCTCGTATGAGTGCGGCGCGAGGAACGAACTAGGATACGGTTCAGTCTCCGTGAAATTGGATGTCACTGGACCACCAGGTTAGAAATATTATTTAATATATTATATTTTATATATTATTATGGATTTTTCGTATATATATAAATCATGTTGTTAGCTGTATCTTAGTAAGATCGATGATAGCTTCGATGGATTTATGAAAAATATATTGTTTACAACATATACAGCTTATAATAATGTCTAATAATAAGATAGAACTAAACTATATTATAATTTTGTTCAAAATAAAACTATTTAATGAAAATCATATTAAACTTACATATATATATCATATGAATTATGCAGAAAAAAATTATATATTATATAAGTGCATCTTTCATATAGTTATTCTATACATCATCTACATACATACAACCTTCCAGACCCGGTGTCGTCTATAGTAGTAACGAACGTCACACACGACACTGTCACACTGGAGTGGGTGCCGGGCTTCGACGGAGGGTTGACATCGTGGTTCAGAGTTAGATATCGGTGAGTATAACACTTAATAATATATATTTATATGAAAGTTTGCATTTACTTGAAGCACTTGAAGGCTAGAATTCATCCACTTATATTATTACTAGCTTTCCGCCCGCAGTTTCGCCCGTGTGGAGTTCGGTTATATCGCGTTTCCAAGAGAACCTTTCAAAAATGTGGAATAAAAAATATCCTATGTTCTTTCTCAAGGTCAGCTCTATGTCTGTACCAAATTTCATTAAAATCGGTTCAGTGGTTTAAGCGTGAAAGCGTATTTTCCATTGTTAACGCCCTCGCAACCCCCTTGTGGGTGGAATTTCGCAAAATCCGTTCTTAGCTGACCTCTACTCGGCGAGAGGAATAATCCTACCAAATTTCAAGTCGCTACACCTTATGGTTCCAGAGATATTTTTTTTTTTTTTTTTTTTTTTTTATGGTAAAGGTGGCCACCGAGCAGACGGCCCACTTGATGGGAGGTGGTTACCGTCGCCCATGGACATCCGCAACGTGTTTGTTGCGGATGCGTTGCCAACCTAGTTTTTTGGGGATAGGGAGGGGTGGGAATAAGGAAATGGTAGGAAAGGATAGGAATAGGGAAAGGGCAACCGGCTCTCTCACTCATCAGACGAAACGCAGCCAGTAAAGACTACTTCACGCCGATCTTCTATGAGAGGGTGGTACTTCCCCGGTCGAGCCAGCCCATGTTCGAGCTGTAGTAATTCACCACAGCTAGGCTCTACCACCTACAAAATATCATGATGATATCATGATGAGTCAATATATAGGTGGAAATCTCTTTTATATACATCGATAAGCAACTTCGATTATTTTCTTAGTATAAAATACAAATTAAATTTATATCATATATAGTAATTACTATTCTAAACAAGACTTCAACCCCCAATCAAACAGCAAACCCCACGACTCAACATACACGTATCACGACGTGACCCCCAACACGACCCACTACACTGTGTCGGGCTTGGAGCGACACACGGACTACGTGCTGTCTGTGATGGCGATCAACGGAATGGGGGAAAGTCGATATAGACCTGATGATACAAGGGTCACGACCCTCAGTGAGTACCATTATAATAAGGACCCTAGATAGTCTTAACACTCAATATGTTTAGGTATAACCCAAATTTAGGGGGTCAGTTTAAAATGGTTATATTCACTTGTTAAAAATAGTATAGACCTGACGATACAACGGTCAAGACCTCAGTGAGTACCAATATAATAAGGACCCTGAATAGTCTTAAGACTATACGCGTTGTTTGAGTATGACCCAAATCTAGGGGTCAGTTTAAAATGGTTATAATTCGCGTCTTAAAAATATAAGGGTATTCTTAGCGAAATAATAATTTCTTTTTTTTTAATATCTTATTACGAATGTAACTTCTTATTGATAAATTACTTCAAAGGTTAATAGGGATTTTAGAAGATTATACATATTTAGTACAAAACATATTATATTAATACTTACAAAATATCATATAATCATATATTATTGTTTTTAATTTACCAAAATAAGAAAAATACTGATACACCATTTTATATACAATGACACTTATAATAATTCGAGTGTTTACAAACATTCGTATTCAATAAATTTCCATACGAGTACATTATAATTGATAATAATATTAATTACAAACAATTATTACAAGGCTTTATATAATTCAATATAAATAAATACATCTATCTGTTTGTTATAGAAACACAATCAAAATCGTTATATAACCAATATTATTCCACTTAAATTTTAACTGTAATAATTCCAAAATACTCAATATTTTCTATATTTTCCACGCTTCATAGACATAATCCCACCAGTACAATCTAGTTCCGAGTACAATTCATACAATGTTCCCGGTGTATTTATTATAACTGGTACACTAGTCGGTACAGCGCTCATATTGTTAAATGTACTTCTGGTTGGGTTCTGTCTGCACAGGAGGACCAACAAACGTATACGAGGTTTGAATTATATATACACTTTAAATATACAGGTGTATTTTTTTTTGTTTAGATTTATAAATAGGTGTATTTTTTGCGTAGATGTACATATAGGTGTATTTTTTTGCCTAGATGTACATACAGGTGTATTTTTTGCCTTGATGTACATACAGGTGTAATTTTAGTTTTTTTTAGTTGTTTTTTTTTTACTATTTCCGTTTCCTTTTCTCTGTAGCTTCATCAGAAGTTGGTGAGCTGAACGTAGTGTCCACGGAGCATGTAGAGACAGCGGACGTGTCTAAATCAGTAGTTCTATATGTCTGCGTGACCGTCGCTGTGTTAGTTATAATAAACGCTGTTTTAGTTGCTTGTTTTGTATTAAAACGACGCTCCAAGCGTTCTAAAGGTGAGTTTATATTTATTTTGCGACTTCTGTGTCAATAGATGTAATTAATGTAGATTTTTTTAGTGAATGTTAGTTATTTTATTTTATATATCTCAAAAACTCAGTTCAAAATATATATAGCAAATAGTTTTTGTTGTTAATTTTAAATGTTTTTATAAAAGCTTTATTAATTTAGTTGAGCTGAAATCTATGTGAGAATGCTTAACTTATTTTATGACGTAAAATCGTTTTATTTTGCAATAACTCTTCCTAAACTACGTATTAATGACTTAACTATTTATATTTTGATATTACTTTGAAAGTGGAAATACAAAAATAAAGTTTATTTATTAAGTTAATACAAATATTGTAGAGCAAGCTGGGCAGTCGTCAAAATCAACTCCCATAGAAATGTACGCCCCTTCATCTTACAACGACACTATGGGTGAGACACTTAGCTCTGTGTCAGAGAAGTCTGAAACATATTCACAAGATGAGGCGCCGCCCGTACCTGACGTACCAAGCATGCCGAGACATATGATGAACCAGGTATATTAATAATTAGATAATGTATATATATAGCTTTAAAATTCAAAAATATATATTATAATTGAATAAACTTAAAACAATAGTCAGTGGTGGTCTAGTGGTTAAAGCGCGGGTTCGATCCTGGCAAGTACCAGTTTTCCGAGTCATATGTACTTTCTGAGAGTAATTAGTCACCACTGCTATAGGTTGAAGGAAAATATCGTGAGGAAACCTGGACTTATAGGTTCACAATTATAAGTTTGAAATCACCAACCCGTCTTGAGCAAGCGTGGTTATTAATGTTCAAACCTTCTCCATGTGTGAAGAGGCCTTACAGCAGTGGGCTCTGATAGGCTGATGACTTAAAATAATCATAATCAAAATCTTTTATATAACACATATATTTAACTATTATTTTGATTTGACCACACGATATGAAAGACATAACACTTTCAAATCTAAAGTCATAAATTTTTTGTTAAATATATATTATTTTCCATTTTAAATACATATAATATGAAGGTATTTTTTCTACCCAGTCTGATTCCTATCTGTTGGATGAGAGCCTGGTCCCTCCGCCTTTAGACTACCCTCCGCCCAACTACGTGTATGATGAACACGCGAGGACTCTGCCTCACCCGCACAGACTGAGAGACGTGCGGGGACATAGCACGCTCGGGAGGACGACCGGTGAGACATACACATATACACACACAGACACACACACACACACACACACACACACACACACACACACACACACACACACACACACACACACACACACACAGACACACACAAAAACGGACACACACAATCAGACACACACACACAGACACACACAAAAACGGACACACACAATCAGACACACACACACGCACAATTTAATGTTATCATAACAATTAAAAATTCAATACACACGAACATTACATACAGATAATACATGCACTAAAATATCAACCACATATCTGTCATAAATTCTATTCATTTGTATGAAGATATATCTTATTTAATAAAAATTACTTTGAGACCAAATTTAATTATATAATAATTAATAAAAATTTTCAAGGTTGAAAAGTAATTATTAAGCTTAAAATTATGAAAATGTCATTTCAAGAATCCTTTAAATAGCACATCCTAGAAAAGTACCAGTTTTATTAATATTAATTCTCTAATATTCCTCTTTTTCATATAAACTTTTGTTAATCTATATATATAATTCCACAAACACACAACAGCTTCTATTATTCTAAAGCTGTTAGTTTAATAACTAGAGATGCTAAAACAAACTTTCATATATTGAGACATTCATTAACTCACCAACTGAAAGTCTGAATTTCAGCCAAATAGCTGACTAAGAGGAAACATTATTATATACCAAGTTTAGACATTAACTATATACACTAACATCACGTTTGATGAAGCGAACTAATATATATATACTAGCTGCGCCCCGCAGTGTTACCCGCGGATATCCGGGATATAAAGCAGCCTATGTGTTATTCCTGGACGTCAGCTTCCTGTATACAAAATTATATCAAAATCTATTCAGCCGTTTGAGCGTGAAGAAGCAACAAACATACACACACACAAACTTTCGCAATTATAATATTAGTAGGATATATATAAATATATGTTGTATATTATATGTCATATATATATATTCAGGTAAACAAGCGTACGTACCAACGCCGAGTCCCATGCCGCCTCTCGACGGTTCATACTACAACATGGCTTCCGATAGATACCTGTCGTATCCACCACTCATTGGAGAATACTTACAACAGGTTGGTGGGCTATACTCTAATTATAACTTAGACTAGCGTCTTGATTAAGTAAGTAATCTAATTACATTAGCTATCTGCCACTGAAAAATTTCACCAAAATCGTTATATATATTAGCCGTAACAAATAGACATACAAATAATAAAACTTATATATAAAGGCAGTTGTAATCTAGCAAACATATAGTATATTTTTCTATATGTGTAATTTTCTTTAATTCATATCCCTCAATATATTTTTTATTTAATACAGCAAGCCGGTAGAACTCCGACTCCGCCACAACAATACTCCAGAGACAATCATTTGAGTCCACCGAATTGTGGAATCGATGGTAAATAATGAACATATACATAATATATAAAATATATATATATATATATATATATATATACATTTATACTGGGCTAAGGATTTATGTATGTGTAAAATAGCCACTCACTGTATAATCAGATGTTAAGACTAAATAAAAAATGTATATATATATATATATATATATATATATATATACATTTTTTATTATATGTTTATATATATTAATGATAATCAACAGGTGAACGAGCCGTTCCCCCCGATGTGACAGTTCTACATCCCCCTGTATGTACACAGGTATATACTAAAACATTATACTATTAATATTATTATAATTCACTCCTAACATAATTTACTGAAATTGTAAATAATGAATACATTGTAAGTAATATCATCTCAGAATTTAAGTGTATTTTTTGGACTAAACTTTCCTCTATCACTATAAGTAATAATAATCTAAATATGTATATTGTTACAGCAGTTTCCACTAAACCCGTCTCTATCAGTGAAGCAACCTCAGTCTATACTAAAAGACCCGTCGAGACATAAATACAGCAACCAATACGGAAGTCCTATATCGTCCAGCTCGCCTCAGAATCAAAATCAAATATTAACAGTACAGAACTTAACTGATGTACCACAATACGGAACTATAAAGAAAGATAAGAAACAGAACGTAACTATAGACGAATCGTTCAACAAACAACAAACACACGTAGTTTAAAATGTAAATAAATGACTAAGTGTATCAAGTGTACGAAGCAAATGAATGCAAAAGTGTACGAAGTGAATTAAATGTACCGAATGTACGAAGCATATGAATTCAAAAGTGTATGAAGTGTATTAAATGTACCGAGTGTACGAAGCATATGAATTGTATGAAGTGTAAATGTAAAAGTGAAGTGAACCGTAATCTATTGTAAATAGATTGACAGAATATTAGATAGTTTTAAATTCATTGATTGTGATACCAATGAACGGTAGATAGATGTAACTATTGTTTGACTGATTTAACTTAAAATAATTACAAGTGAGGCAACACGTCCAACGGATATGAACACGTAATGAAGTTCCCGCAAGGATCTCTTATATGGTTAAGTTTTTATTTTTAATTATTAAAAAAAAATGTATTTAAAATATGAGAATTCTAAATTTCTCGAAATATTGATGGAGTTAATTGAAAAAAAAAATTAGAAAACTTTTTTAATCGAAATGATTTTTATGTATTTTTCTGTTAGTTTTAATCATGATTTTTTTTGGAAAACTATTTCTAATATCTTTTCTTGTATAAATCTACGGAACATTTGTTGCATTTCATTTAATGTAAATAATAATACTCAGATCGCGAACTGACAATAATTATAAGTTTTTATTAATTTAATTCCCCGCTTACATTCATTGTAAATAAATCATTATTGTAATTTACATAGCTTTTCTAATACGAAAATAATCGGTTTTAATACAGATACCAAAGTTTTATTAATTTTATTTTTTTAGTTATTAAGCTAATTTTTTAGTTTTTTATTTTTATTTTTTCTATTTTATTATTATTATTATTTTTATTTCGATTCTGTAACAGCTAATGAATTCATAACTGATTGAATTTAATGATTAATAATTATCAAAATTTCTGAAAATCCATCCATTAAAAAATATGAATATTTACTGATGGAAATGTTACATTTCGAATTTAAATAAAAATCTAATATATATTTAATTTTGTTTCATTTATTTTTTTCCATTTATTTTATTTTTACACCCGATTATTAATAACATATCATGTCTTAAAAATCATTTGTGAATTATATATGAATGATGAATGAAGTGAATTCATTTAAAACACATGATTTCTGAAGTGCCAAATTATTTCATTTTTTTTTTAATTTTTTGCTTTTATTAAAATTAATTAGAATAATTGTAGCTACGTTACGTCCTTTCTATATTAAATTTAAAAAAAATAATAATGAAATTTAGTGAAGTATTCAAAACCGTGCCTTATAATTTTATGCCATTTTGAGAATAAAAATATCACTTAAGGTATTGCCAAAATCTAATCTTAAACTTACCTCTAGTTGTAAAAGCTTTCTTTTAGCAAATCATAATTTTTCTCCATTAATAAATAACAATAGAATAAATTTTGTTGTGAGAAAATATTTTTACGATACCATTAAATTTGGGTTGCGTTTATATGTTGTTATATATAAATAATTTTAACCATTTACGAAGAGGGAAGTGTTGTTTTAAAATCAAGAGCTTCTCACATAGTGTTAGGATTTTGAATGTTCGACATCTGTTCATATATACATATATATATAATAAATTAATATAAATGTTAAAATTTTTGGAATCGTCATGTTTTTTCATTTGTAAGCTCAATTGTTTTAGTGATTTAAATGAATGTGACCTTTTGGATATTTTAATGTTGTATACATCGGTCACGTTTTAAGATTACAGACTTCATTGTAATATAACTCCTCTCGTTAAGATAATAAGGTTGTAAATTAAATGATTCAAATGTGACTTTACATAATGCTCATGATGTGTAATCGGCATAAATAAATTAAAGCATATATGTTAAAAATATGTTTATTTTTTAACCCATTTTCACACTTATTTTACCTCATTTTCAGTTATATAGTTTAAATAAAAAAAATATTAATTTGTCGAAAATAATTATTAAAAATTACTTTATTTCATGTTTATACAGATTTAAATCAAGATTTATAAAAGTATTTTTGTATTTGAAAATTTTATATTAATTGAAAGAATTTTACGAACAGACAATGTCACAGTAATCTTTCCCATTTTTTTTTATTTATTAAACCAATAAGCATACATTAAATTTTGCATCAAATCTCGTATCAACCGTAGTACACGATAAGTAAAGATCGTAGCAGTGCTACGTGTAAGAACGACGTAGCACTTTTCGTAGCACCCGCTACTACGAATTGTTTCCAAATAAAACACACTAGTTCGTCATTATCCTATCAGAGCCCACTGCTGAGAGGTCTCTTCTCACATGGAGAACGTTTGAGCATTAATCACCACGCTTGCTCAAGATGGGTTGATGACTTCAAACTTATAATTTGATATTAAAGTCCAGGTTTCCTAACGATGTTTTCACCGTTTGTCAGTAAACAAGGTTGCAAACAAGACTAAAGATTTTAACTATAAATAAATTACCAGATTACTTGGAACACTTCAAATGACAGGATAATCTAAGTACATGGGAACGTTTGAAGTTAATTTACTAAATTTCCTGCGAAGATGGAGTCAAATACATTAATATTCAAGTGTAAAATCAGAAGCTATTCCCGAATATGCTAAATACAGGTTCGACGTCACATGCAGTAATCCATACGGCTGGGTTGTGGTACAATACATACACTTATGAGGAATATATACATACTAGCTTTCCACCCGCAGCTTCGCACGCGTGGAGTTCGGTTATGTCGCGTTTCAAAGAGAACCTTTCAGAAGTCTGGAATAAAAAGTATCCTATGTTCTTTCTCAAGATCAACTCTATGTCTGTACCAAATTTCATTAAAATCAGTTCAGTGGTTTAAGCGTGAAAGCGTAACAGACAGACAGACAGAGTTACTTTCGCATTTATAATATTAATTAGTAGGGATATATTATGTGGAAGGTGGCAAACGAGCAGATGGTCTACTTGATGGAAGGTAGTCACTTCGCCCATGGACATCTGCAACATAAGAGATGTTAAGGATATATTGCCGACCTTAGTTATGTGAGAGAGAGAGGAAAGGGTGGGAAAGAGAAAGAGCAACCGTCTCTCTCACTCATCATACAAAACGCAGCCATTAAAGTCTACTTCACGCCGATCTCCTGTGAGAGGGTGGTACTTACGGTCGAGATAGCACATGTTCGAGCTGTAGTAACTGACCACAGCTAGGCTCTACCACCAGAAAATCTTGTTAAACTTATTGAAATAATGAAGTAACTTAAGTTTGAATTTGATATAATAAAAATATTGTTAAACATTGAACCACAAAAATCTTTTAACTTGAACCAAATACATATATGACGAAGTTTATATTGATATGTTAATAACTATTCGAGTGTTACCAGGTCAGACATACTTACAAGAAGATTGGTTGATGAACATACGACAGGGTTGATCAAGATGGTCATATGACAACCACCGTGATAACCTGGCTCTGTAACCTTAAAATAAAACCAATGGAAAGACGATTTGATTGAAGAAAATTTAAATATAACGATAAACTGTTTAGTTATATCCATTTTAGTGTGACTCTATGTATTGATATTTGAATTATTCAAAAATTTACTTGATATTTCATAGTTTGTTATATAAAATATTTGGTCATAAAAATAATTGTTACGTACATGCTACATATGAAGAAATAAGTGAACGTCGCCGGGGTGACATCGTTGTATGTATAATATATAACGAGTGACGCTGCTAACTCCGCGGAACGAACACCAAGCCGTGTGAACCAGAAGATTCCTGATACACACAAGCTATGGAATGGTATTGCTATCCTAACATCGGGACAATCATGTAGTCTTAGGTGTGGGTTATAAGGTTTAATATGTAATTCTTATTTTAATAAACATATAAGTAAGTTTAATAGTTTTCCTGGAACCTCCGGTTGCAACCCTATATAATTAATTAATGAATATATGATTGACATTATTTTTTTATAATTTTCTTTGATAATATATTTATTAAAAAAATTATAAAAGTCCTTAATAGAAAGCCTGTTAAGAATCCCTGTAATGTTCTTGGGCCAAGACTAAACGTTCGAAGATTGACTTTATATACATATAAATAGCTTTCAAATTTACATTCATATACAAATACAGGAAGTGTCTCTTTTAATATTATATTATATATTATTTTCTTACTCTATATAAAACCGAAATAATTTAGTTTTCTAATCTGTCTTTCCCTCAGTTTCTTAAATGTTCGACCATTAAATTACTTATTAGTCAACTCTTAAAAAACACATTACTTTCACATATTAATGAGACTTTTTAATACTTCATGTAATATAATTTTTGACATATTATTATTTATTTATTTATTTTCATTGTATTTTGAAATAATGCATTAAAACATTTCGTCAATTAACTATTGACCCTATATGTATCTTCAAATATGTATATGTAAGTTATTCTGAAAATATAAATACAATATTTATATATTGTTTATTAAAATCAAATTAAAACATTGCCATATCTATTATTTAAGGCTCCATGTTATTGAAACCTGCGTAAAAGCCAAATCTTGTCTGTTCTCCCTTTTATTAGGTAACCGTGAAGCAGATCTCGCATCAATCAATTACTGACATAATTTTATTGAATCGAATACTTTATAGGCTTACATATATTATAAGTTTTATAATATACTATGTATGTGTATATATCTCTTCTTCTACCTGACAATTTCCCAGCTTTAGCCAGGGTCTGCTTTACATGTTGTGAATAGTTTTGGCTAATTATTTTTACGACCGGCCGCCTGCCTGATATCAACCCTCTTTGGGAATGCATTAATCAGTGATGTCTAAATACTCTTAGAAAGTACATATGACTCAGAAAAATCACATTGGTAATTGCCAGGATCGAACCCACGCTCTCGTGCATGAGAGGCGGGCTTTAAACCACTATGCCAATACTGACTTATGATATACATATGTATATATATACGAATATGTGTGAATAAAGCATCCATATATATTA